TGACATTTTTGTGGAAAAAAATAAACTGTTTAAGCTGCTCTGTGAAAGACTTGCAAATTTTCAAAGATGCATCTTGCCTCTTCCACAGTGACTGTTGGACACAGGCACCAGAAACCTGTAAACCTGGAAAGGAAATATGGGTAAAAACAATAGAAAATAGATGGATGTTTATATTAGACTGGCTTCAGGATCAGGCCTCAATTTAGAAAGTGGTCAGTAAATATCACTGTGGTTTGACTGGTTAAATAATAAATAATGAAAACAAGACACAAAACGCTGCTTTGGGTTATTTAAAAAAATAGTAAAAATAAATAGACATAAAAACGTTTAAATAAATGTAAAGACAGTTTTTGATCATGTGGTATGAAAATCTTTTTGCCTCCTTTCTTACAAATAAGKTAAGTCAAAATTATCTAACTTTTGAATTCTGTTTTTGTTTGTTTGCTTGTTGTTTTTTTTAGCAAATTGTAACACTTAATTTGTAATGATTGTACTGAAAAAAGAGTAATAAAGAAAAAAATGTATCATTTTCACTGTGGRGGATAAACTTAAAAGCCAAGAGGACAGACCAATTAAATTTTATAAAACAAGCTCCTCCCATGTTAATGGTTCCTCCCATTCAATATAACAACWTTAAGATTAATCATTCTGCAGTTCGACCATAATTACCAGCTTTTGTGGGTCGATTCTACAATGATGATCATATTTTATGTAGCTCTCATCGTCACTGCTGCACGTGAGTATTGTGAAAAAGTTTATTCTCTTTTATTCAATCCACTTTGACATTTTAGACTACTTTTGATGACATGTTTAATTTGTATTTCAGAATGCAGAGAAGAGCAAAACTTTTCAACAAAGACGGTTAATGTTGGTGAAGATGTCACTCTAACATGTAGCAAAAAGTCTAAAGGCACAGGACAGATAGTCTGGATGAAACTTGTTCCTGGAAACYTGCCTGAAGTCTTAGCTGTAGCTTACACTTTTGATGATGGCATTGTTAAAATAACTCCTCACTTAACAGCAAAACATGAACCTGGATTATTTGTTCTCCATATAATCCAAATAAAACCGAATGATTCCGCCTTTTACTACTGCGAAGAAATACTTGAACGCTGGAAAACAGTTCTTAATGCCACATTTATCATCGTCAAAGGTAATCAAACATCTTGCTGATACTCAACTTTAAATTAGCAAATGTTTATGACTTTGATTACAACATGGTTTCCTTTGAATTGTGACCTAAAATTAAGTTATAATGCAAAACAAATCTCAAATATTTAAAATTAAGCAAATATTTCATTTTTTCCCAGGACCTGAACCTAAAAACAAACTGATCATTCAAGACCGTCCATCTGCTGATGTTCATCCAGGAGACTCTGTAACTCTCCAGTGTTCTGTCCTCTCTGACTCTGACCATCAGATGTGTCCAGATAATTACAGTGTTCACTGGTTCAGAGCTGGATCGGATCAAACTCATCCCAGACTCATTTATGTTCATGGTAATGGTGGAGAGAAATGTGAGAGCAGTCCAGAGACTCGCGTTCAACAGGAATGTGTCTACAACTATTCATGGAGCAAAATCAGCTCCTCTGATGCTGGAACTTATTACTGTGCAGTGGCCTCATGTGGAMAGATACTGTTTGGAAATGGAGCAAAACTGGACATTAAAGGTATTATTTTTATTATTTTTTTTAATTTGTGAGGGATGGGGTGGTATTTTATTTTTTTTTTACCAATTCACAGTTTTTTTTTCTTGACGATACCGCTTAAAGAAATAATGTTTCAAACACGTTCAAGAGCCCACGAGGGGACGTGGGAGATTTTTTTTTTTCTTTTGCGTTCCCTCGCAAAAGTAGTTTATCATTGTTGTGCCTGATGGTTTATTAAACTCACACGTTCACCATAAGTGTTAGCCTACTGCTTTAATTCAGCTTTAGAATGAATATATCACACAGCCACGCATGRAAGTATGTCATATGCCGATATTTTAACGCAGTGCAGCCACGCAACATCAATGTCACTTTAATGAACTTGTGGCAACACGTTCTGTTTTGGTAACCGGATATTTCAAAATAAAAGTCTGATTTAATTCAGTTCATATACAAAACAATATTTTGCGTGGGAACGCAAAACAATTTTGCGAGGTAACGCAAAAGTATTGCGAGGTAACACAAATGTATTGCATGGGAACGCAAAAGAACCCCCCCACCTCCATGTCCCCTTGCGGGCTCCGTACAGAGACTTATTACTTAGTCTTTTTTATTCTGTTTTTTCCAGCACCATGCCTGCTCTCTAAGTCATGGGGGACCATTGTACTGCTTTTTCTGTTGTGTGCTGCTTTGGCTGGAAGCTGGATTTTYAATGTCCTGCTCATTCAGAAAATTAAGAAACTAAAGTGTGACATCAATGGTATTGAAATTTAATTTAAGAATATATATTTTCTTTTTTTTCCATGAATTTGGTTGCTTATATATGTGTGATTTCCCATTCTATCATTTAGCTGCTGGTGATGATGCTGGAGAAACGGCTGTTCAACAAAGTCCGCCGGTATGTTGCTGAGATGTTGACTGGTGCATTGTCCTTGTCATTGTTCATGTCAAAAAAAATTTATTATTATTATTTTATTTTACAGACACAAGAAGATGCCTTGGTTTATGCTGTGCCACGTTTAACAAAAGAGAAAAGTGGCCAAAAAGTAAAAAGGAGTAAAAACACCCCAAAGGAGCAGAGCATTTATGCTGATGTCTTGGTTTTTGGGAACAAATAGCAACACAATGTCATACAAAGTGTCATACAGAGATTTAACTAATGATGTTTTAATGTTTTAGAGTGTGTGGGAAACTTCAAACTATGTTTTTTGAGTGACATAAAACGTAATTTCACAATGTAGTGCTTTTAATTTCATAATATTTGTAACGTTTTAGGGGTTTTTTTTCTTTGTTTTTTCTTTGGCAGATTATCAAACAAGAGATGTATAATACTGAGCAAGCATATTGTTTTATGTTTATTTCTGTGCTYAAACATATCAGGTCATGTATAATTTTTATTGCAAGAATAAAAAACCAACTTAAAAATCACATTTTTTAAATTCATGATATTTTACTGTGATTACC